TGTTAACCAGCATTTAATTATTGTAAATAAAGATAAATAATAATATATTATCGCCCGTATAATTGTCATGGCTAAGATTTTCGGAAACCCGTATAGCGTACCTGCGCGCAGTCACATGTCACTATATTTTGTGATAGAAAATGTTTCTTCTCCTATGCGGTTATGAAAGACCCAAAAAGTGGAAGAAAATTTCACCCAGTACCCAAAGCCCGATTTTAATTTTGAAAACATATTTAAATTCATAATTCTGTTTTCTAGGTTATGTAGGAAATGGATGTTCGATTTTTTCTATTGTTTAATTAATATAGTACCAAATTAATTTTCTTTTTTTTCCAAAATTAACTTTTACTTTATTGTTACTAAAAAACATAAAATTAAAAATTAATTTCCTACATAACACAGACAAGGAGTAAAGAAATCCAAACATTTTTTTAAAATGAAAATTACGACTTTTGGAAGTGTATTTTTTTTCTTTTGCTTATAGCCTATAGGTCTTAATGCACAAAAAAACGACCCACTTACAACCGCCTTAAACTCATTTGCCTGCCGGCGCCCATGCGACACTTCAAATTTTTTTTTGTGTAATTTAACTCTTGTTCGATAAGAAGTTACATGAATGGCGTACTAAATATAGGAATAAATAGAATTGCTAAATACCTATTATTAGTCATGCGTGGGGTTGGAGACACGTATCCCCAGTCGCTCCCTTGGGAATTTATTTTTGGTGGCCTGAATTTTGTCGTAGCAATTCCGAGACCTGTCATAGGACTTCATAGGAATGACGTACTAAATATAGGAAAAGAAAAAGATGCAAAATTTTAGATGGGTGGTGCTGGGGACATTTACACGTCGAGAATATGCGATTATACACATCGAACTCGCAACGCCTGATGATGTGCAGTAGGTATGAGCCTTGAAGGTTATTGTTATTTATTATTTATCGTCGCGGTACCACATCGAAATCGTTAGGCTAATATTATGATGGTGTCACATTTTATGTATCATATATTTGTAATTTGCAAACAAATTAATATTATAACTTTATAAGTTATATTCTTATAACTATATGTATGTGTATTATATTATATATATGCTCAAATACTCACTCATAACCTCTTCTTATACCTATAACCCATAGCTGTAATTATATAATGTCGGTATTTAATAACAGAGTGCAGGGACTATGTACAAGCCACAAAGTATAGGTACATATAGTTGCAGGGTTATACATACTTACTTTTTACCTATGTATAGAGAGCCTTAGTAGTACAAATTAATTATAAGAATTAATATAAATAGTTATACACCAAAATATATCCGTACTTTATTTTGGAGTTACAGTAGATTATCAACTTGCGAATAAACATATTAAATCAATAAGATAACTTCGTTCAACGGGATGGATCCAGGGGGGTGGCTAAGGACTTAGACACCTCTAGACATATTATTTTGACCTTTTTAAGTTCATTTTCTACTTTTAATTTTTTTTAGTTTTTTTTCTATAAATGTCTATTAAATTTTATTTTTTATGTCAAAAGTGTGAAAAATGTAATACAATGATCCTGATATTTTATTACAATATGTGTTGAAAAATATTAAAAATATATCTTTACGTTTTTGTTTTATAATCATTTAAAGTTAAAATTTGGACAGAATTTATCAAATTCAAATTGAAAAATGAGTTTGTTTTTAAAAATGTATTGAATGTTCAAGTTTTATAGCTAAGGATTGAAAATTTAAAACAAAATTTCATGTAATCAATTAATTCTTGAACCAACAAATCTAAAAATAAACATAAACCCAACTTTTTAATAGTTATTTTAAGGGGATTCGATACCGTCATTTTCTGTTTTTGTCTAACACACACGTGACATAGTAATTTATACGTGTTTTTTGCCAAATATACCAATTGATCTAATGAAGCGATAAGAATTCTAAAAACAGATTTGAATTTGTCGTCAAGTCTACTTGAAATCGACTTTCCCACATTTATGATTTTTTGATTTTAACTACTCCGAAAATTGAAACACAAAAATTTTTAAATGCTCTTTTTTAATATGACATTTTTAGGAATTTGGGTTATAATATCAAAAATGTGGGAAAGTCGATTTTAAGTAGACATAACGACAAATTCAAATCTGTTTTCAGATTTTTTATCGCTTCATTAGATCAATTCGTATGTTTGGTAAAAAAACACGTTTAAATTACTATGTCACTCGTGTGTTAGACAAAAACAGAAAATGACGGTATCGAATCCCCTTAAGTTGCAATATAGTCGAAATAACACAAACATGACAGGTTAACACAATGAATAACGATTTTGTTCATATTTTTGTCTTAAATTAAAATTTTTTAATTTGAAAAACAGCCCAATTTTACATCAGTATAATTTTATTTTTCCAGCTTTAGTGATAATGTTAGAACAATATCTTGTCCTCGACCGTATTGACAATAAGTAATAACAATATAAAACATCCTCGACTGACATATACCGTCTCCTCTCCGAATCGTTTTTCGTATATGCAATGATATTTTCTCATTGAATTCAAATTGAATACCATCCATTACAGTGAATTCCTAAGTCCTAGACACCTAATGTGCATCAGAGTGACTTCCATTTACCCTCTTATTAAATATTATAGTGACAGGCAATAGTATGCGGCCGGGCTTGCGCAACTTTAGAAACACGAAGCTGGATCTACCTCATTGATTAATTTCGTGAAAATTATAATTTTTTTTGTGAAAATCCATGCTATTAAAGTGCTAAATATTTGTGAAAAAAAATATTGATTTTCAAAATAGCCAGGCTATTGTAACGTATGTTTTATACCGTATGTATCGTACATCATTCTATACTATTATACCTATAAAATATTATAATTAGTGTGGATTAACGTAGACGTATATGGATTGATCAAAACCTGTAATATATCGTTTTGGATCAAAACCCTGCTGTAAAGACGAAACGTATAGAATCTATATAGACGAACCAGAAAAATAAATATTCTAAAAAATACAGTATCTGCTGCGTCTGTCTTTCTGATTCAAGTATTCGAAACGGCTCTTTCAACAACGGGATACATCGTCAAGTACGCGACGGTACTCAGTTCAATTATTTAAAAATATTTAAAAATATATTGAAATATTATTATGTTATAATGTTATTAAATTATATTACACAATGTCTGTAGGTAATTCGTTACAAAAACAATTATATATGTATATACTACAAACATTATACACTGTCGAAGTAACAAAATTTTTTCCATTTAAATTGAACTCAACAGTAGGCTGTACGCCTGTTCTACTGTAGCTGTAGGTATACATATATTATTATGTAATGTGCAAAAATATAAAATAATTTTATAATACGCAATACGCGTTAATTTATTATAATACTTACTGTAGCCGATCTTAAAAATGGAGGGTATTTAATACCATCCGCATAATAATACCTAATTAATATGTAGGGAACATACTTGTACCCTTAATTTTTTTACGAAAATTATTCATTTGTGCCTATATTGGTGTGGGATTATGAGTTAGTGGTGAGGTTTAGCTGTAGTGCGGTACAAATGGTATAATAAACCTTCTCTTTGGGAGATTCAATATTTCAATAAGTATAGGTATCTGGTATATATTATGAATTCATTAAATTCTCCTTCATAAAACCAAATGTGTGCGACAAGCGACTATAACTTTCGAGTTATTAATTATTATTATCAATACATGTATATAATAATACATTATAACCTGTATGATTTTAAACATAAGTTTATCTTATTAAAATTGTTTTTTTTTACTTATTATTCTATCAATATAGTTACAATATTTTTTAGCTTATGTTTTGTGTGTTACCTATATATAATATAATTTACTATGTTGTAATTATTGCTTTTTATTTTAACTTTTTTTTCCATATACAAGGAATATCAGGGGATGCAACTGTATATATTATCTAACTTAGTTAAATGCTATTGCATTCTATATACTTATCTATACTGTACAGGACATTATTTAGTACAAATAGTTTCGGTATGCAATGTGCCATGTGCAGCCTTGCAGGATACAGACTGAGTGAGGGTTTTATCAGCTAAACCATTATGTTCGGAAGAATGACTAAAACAAATAAAAATAAAAATATAGTTTTAAGTGCTTATTGGCAATTACCTATAACCTACCTATAATTTATGTATTATACTGCAGCGTTGAGGAAATGATTGGAATAAGAATTCTGGGATGCTGATGCAAAGCGCATACCTATAGATCATACCTAAAAAAAACTTGAACGGCGTGAGACTGATTTTCTAGTAGAAAAGTGTACAAAACCGTACAAAATAAATAGCGAACGGTAGCCAATCGAGCCTCGGCTACTTTATGTGTACTTAGTGCATTATACATACTTAATTATTTGCGCCGTACAAATCATATAGACATTTTAGTACTAAAATGTATATATTTTCAGGTCTTGTACTTGAAGTATAGTTTCACACGTTTTATACAATAATACTGAAGACATGACCCTAGCGCGTATAGGATTTTTCGAAGAGGGAAGAGATCTCATTCATACTTATTTAACATAAATTGCAAAAGGTAACCTATAAATACAACAGACAAAAATTTAAATTTGTTTTGTTATTATATCATTAGGATTCATGTATGGGCATAAATCGAGGGGACGAAGTGATCATTCACTGTAAAAATATGTCTGCATTATAAAAAATATAAATACATGCAGTTCTGCGGTACTAACGAATAATATGAGTAATTAATATAATATAGTATATTGTACTACGACGCTTAACGGTAGTTATTATAATATTATATACGGTGACACTCCAGCAAATAGTTTTAACCTTCGCAGTATAGATCTCTCTCATCGAATAAAAAATGTACACTTTTGTAAAATAAAAGGGTTGAAGACAAAAATTCTGTGGATACACACTAGATCGGGCACACATATTTAAATACAATAAATAATATGTATAACAAAAAATAAAATGATACCTACAGGCTACAATGATACAAATGTAAGATGTTTTTAGTTGTACTTAACCTATTATGTATAAATTCAAATTTCAATTTTCACCCATTATCTCTACATAATTTACATCTTTAAATTAAAATGTATAGCCGTCATATTATATTATTATAGTTATAGGTACCTACTCCTAAAAAAAAGACCTAGTCCTAAGAACAGAAAAAAAAGTGACATATATTCTACACAAAAAGCAGAAGTGGTTAATCTGTTTGTAATATGTATATATATTTTTCCCTAATCATTTTCTTACTAATTTGTTTTAGTGTCAGGCAGCTTTAGATTATGACAGCACTATAATACAGGATCACGAAGAACCAGATTTTGAAAACTGTAATACTGACAATGGCGAAAGTGTTATGAATGTTGTAAATCAGTTATACAAAGAAGTTGATTTTAATAGAGAATTTATGGATTCAGCAACTCAAATTACTATTGCAGATATTGAAATTCCATTTATCACGTTAATAAATTCTCCTAAAAAATTAAGGACAATGACCGGAATACCTACATTTCAATTTTTAGAAAAAATTATTGAAATTTATAAAACAGAATTTCCTGATAAAAGAAAGCATAATTTAAACTACAAAGAGAGAATAATTATGGTATTTTTAAAGTTAAGGCAAGATTTTTCATTTGTAGTTTTATCTATTCTCTTTAAAAATGTCACTGCCGAATCTTGTCGTATGATATATTCATCACTTATTCCATGTTTAGCAAAAATATTAAGTTGTTCCATTTATTGGCCTTCTAAAGAAGAAATAATTAGTAATATGCCATATTGTTTCAAAAAGTTCCCCAATACTAGAGTAATATTAGACTGCACTGAAATTCCAATCCAAAAACCTAAGTGTTTATCATGCTGCATCAAACTTTACAGCAATTATAAGTCTACTTTTATTCTCAAATTTTTGATTGGAGTATCACCAGGTGGGCTTATTACTTATATAAGTCAACCATATGGTTGTAGAGCATCAGATAAAAGTATATTTGAACAAAGTGGGTTAATCCAAAAAATGAATAGTTCTGATGCAATAATGGTAGACAAAGGTTTTTTAATTGATGACTTGTGTATGTCAAAAAATATACAAATAATTCGGCCACCATTCCTAAAAAATAAAATTCAATTTTCTAAATCTGAAGCATTACTTAATAAATATATTGCTAGTGCCCGTATTCATATTGAAAGGTTTAACCAAAGACTTAAAGTATATAAAATACTACAAAATATATTTATTTGGTCACACAATTACTTAGCTTTTGATATTCTTACAATCATAAGTGGAATTTGCAATCTAAGTACCCCAATTTTTGCAAATGATAAATTCTCTGTTTGATTAGTTTAATCTAGATAGGGATTTTGTTAGCTAACTATTAATTTAACTTACAATTATTATGAATTAGTTTTTTATAAAATATAATTTACTTTTAAACTTAACTGTTGTCTATATCTATTGTACATATATATTGAATATTGTTATTTACTATTATTATATGTTTATACAACATGTCATGATAAATCAAAACCAGTTTTATAATGTAAATAATTTGAAGAAATAATATTAAAACATAAAAACTTGGTGAACAATATAAAACAAATTTATTGTACAACTGTATCCATGTTACAAATTTCATGTATTAACTTTTCAAAATAAATAATTTTTAATGTGCAAATACTTGCAAATCTTACAATACTCATAATCAATATCTGTCTTCAGAATAATATACTTATGTTCTAAGCTATTATATATTACAAAATCACAAGTTTCAAGATTTAACATGACAAGTCCCAATTGAACTTGTGCATAATATGCATCCCTTTTGTTTAAAGAAAAGGAACCATCTGAGTTTTTAATTACATATTTCAAATCATTTATTTATTTATTTATTTATTTATTAATTAATTCACGGAATAAAAAATTCCTTATTTAGTATAGAACATAACAATAATTCAGTAAAATAAGATAACTAACATATACAAGGGCGATGGCCAAAAAATACAGCAGAATAACAGGCACAGTAAATATAAACTAAAATAATTAGGACACAAGTAAAATTACATACAATAAATGTACAAAAAATAACACAATATTAAGGTAAACTGAGAAAGGAGGGGTCCTCGTTAGCCAACCGCATCATGCGGTCAATTGGTTTGTTTTTACCGTAATTGGTAAAGTGGAGAGGTACAGTAAAAGGAACTCGAGACCTTGTGGCCCGATGTGGAACTTTAAAGTTTACTTGGATAAGCAGTGAAGGGGCATTTAAGGAACCATAGATTAACTTTTTTAAAAAGGCCAGATTAGCTTTAACGCGCCTATCTGCTAAAGATGTAAGGCTAAGTGCGCGCAATACTGGAGTATAGTCGTGAGGAGGATGGACAATTTTTAGCATGTAAGCTGCAGACGACAGAAAGCGCCTTTGTACACGCTCTAAGTGGCAAGAATCAATAACCACAAATGGGTCCCAGAGCACAGACGCATACTCTAGCATGCTTCGGACTAAAAAGCAGTAGACAGTCTTGAGAGATCCAGACAGCTTGAACTCCTTCATGGTGCGCATTACGAAGCCAAGCGATTTGAGAGCTCGGCAACAGATGGAGTCAATGTGAGGGCGGAAGTTCAGATCGGCAGTGAAAAGAACGCCCAAGTCGCTATTGCTTGCAACTCTATCAATCACTGAACCATTGATAGTGTAAGAATAATCGAATACCAACCGGCGCCTGGTGAAGGACATAGCTTATTAACTCAGGTACACTTTTGCTACTTCCTAAGTATGGGCATTTAATTTTTAATAATTTTATTGGAACATTTGAGCCGTTCAAAACTATACCATCTGGTAAATATCCAAACCAAGGAGTTTGGTAATGTACAATGAAACCAAATTGAATTACTTTTTGTTTAGTTGTTTCAGCATACAACACTCTAGCAACTTGCTCATACTTTATTCCATGCTTAACACATTTATTTGAAAATAATTTAGGCCAAAAATAACTGCTTGTTTTTTTAGACCATTTTTTGTCAGATTTATAAGAAGACATATAATAGGTATAAAGGGAATGACAACGACTATCTGTTATTTTAAATTGGCGAATTTGGTGCCAAAAAGAATTGTCATTTAAAGATAAATTTCTAATTTTTGTAGGAGTCATTGTTAGTGCCACTTTACAATCATACACTTTTTGACAACAATCACCCAAGTTTAAAACTGAATATTCAGATATCAAATCAAGAAGTTGATCGCTTATAATTTGAAAAGGTTCATCATGAATTTCAGCTGACGAAGCATCACTACTTAATTTGAATGATTTTCTTCCTTTTGAATGCAGTGCTATGGCAGAATAAGGTGCAGCTGAAATAAGTGCTGATCTAAAATAAAACAAAATACATAATCAAATAGGTTACTTAAGTACTCTAGTAAGATAAAAATATATTTTAACTATATCAAAATTATACAATTAGATATAATATTTCATTGAGTCATTGAATACATAGGTACACAAAAATTAAATCAATTATTATAGAATCAATGGAATGTAGTATGTACAAGTACCTACCTAACAATGAAATGGTAATATTGTTTATAATAACAAAAAAAAAGTACCTTATAGATGTTTTAGATTGCGATAATGTACAATCAATACTATTTCCAACACAACAAAATTTGGAAATGGGAACTGGTTTAAATTGTTCCAGTGACGGTTCTCTTAATTTTGTCCATTTGCATCTAATATCAGTAGAAGAAAGTGTGTCTATTTCATCCAAAGAATTTCTTGAAAAATTACATAACCAAATAATTACAACATGGTAACATGTAAAAATAGTAAAATAATGACTATTATACAACTTAAAAGTGAATAAGTATTAAATACAGGATTGTATATATTATATTAATTCTTATTAAAGCGTATAAGTGTATACATTCTAAAAATAATTAAGGAAGTAAGTAGCGCTAGGTAAACAACAAATTAAATTAAATTTTACCTATTTAAAAGCAAAAGAATAGTAACAATATGTTTACAGCATTCTGGAAGTCCAGCGGCACATGTACAAGCAAATATTACAATTTTAAGCAAAGGCACTGTAGATATTTTGCCTGTTATTTCATGCGACATTTCTCTTATATGAGAACTTTGTATGACTAATGCTTTAATTTGTATTTCATTTCCCTAATTAAAAGCAAACTGTTTTATAAACTTTATAAATTTGAAAGTTAAATGCATATAAGATATTGTTTATTAATTAATGATTTATTGTTTACAAATATTACATACTATGATTTGTTTAAATATAATAATATATAAGTAATATACCTTAACAATTTTTCCACACAATATTATTTGTAAACTTTTTAAAACTTGCTCTCCTTCTACAACATTACGTGAGTTAATAGAACAATTGGCAAACGTAAATATTTCTCCAATAGTAAACGCCATTTTAATTAAAAACTTGGAAACTATTTATGACACCAAATACTAAAACGCAAAAGCTAAAAAGTGAATAGACATAAATAATAGTAGAATAAATTATTCACATTTTATAATACAATTATAAAAGAAAATAATAGAATTATAATAGAATGAACAATGTTTATCCTACTCCGGCCTGGTGGGGTAACCGCCACCCATGACGACAGTAAACGCTCCTCGTGTTAATTTGTTTTCCCATTATATATAATATATTATATTGGCACACCACGCTATACATAATACAAAATTATAATAAAGGTACGTACGAGAGTATAATATGTGTCGTTTTGTCACATGAAATATATTGCGCGACCCGTGAAGAAGACGATACATCGCTCGTATTAATGTACAATAATATATTATAATTATATATAATATGGACCACTTGAAGCGCGTTTCACGAATCATACACACAAGTACACACAATGAGTGTATACATTTATTGTTATACATTGTTATTAAAACGACATGTATACCTATGGAGCTTATAGTAATAGGTATAAAATAAGTAAATCCAAATTTTTGTTTATTTATTTAAGTTAATTATTATGTGAGTTCAGAGGATAATGTTTTTAAGGGGTTATCTTTTAGAGGTCATAGCCACTACAGCACAGATACTCCAACCCCCTCAGTTGAGCTTATGTCGATAATCTATATCCATTAATCATTATTATATTGATTATTTACAGATTTTAGTTAAAAGTTAAAACTGATGAGGTAGGTATTAATATGACATAAATACATATACATGGATTATATATGGTATCTGGCTGCAATCGAATAAAATAATAATATCTTGGACCATAGTAATGAGATTTGTTTATATAAATATACTTAAGTTGTAAAAGTAAACTACGGTCTACGAAGACTCACTATGAAACCGGGCACACGAGAGGAAAGACGCTGGCTGTGTTACAAATCATCGGGGAATGTCAGTGAAACCGAAAAGGAGCTTAACCTGACATATTGTATCAAGGATGAATAGAGGACTATAGCGGCGGGCTGTCGGACCAGGTCAGCCATGTAGCTGATGCCGACGGGCCTTTGCGGTGACCAGGCTACGTTCTCGTTGGCACCTCGAAGATGACTTAGCGCAGTGTACTACAACAATGTGGCCGAACGCGAATCAGCCGGCGGAGTAGGAGGATGTGAGCTCAACGGCGATAAACATAAAACGTGGCATGCAGCGGCACTTGAAGCAGCAGCCGCCGACAGAGGATCAGGATCAGCGGGGCGAGTTTATAGATGAGCCTACGCCGAAGGACCGTGTTCTGGAAATGCTGCCGCGTCCACTGGAAATCAGCCCACCCGTGTTTATTCTATGCTTGCGAAAGCGGCCGGGCGAATCGGACGAAAAAGCCCGGTACAGATCGAAGTGTGTGTGCCGAATGAGTTTCGGAACCGCAGAAATGGTGACATGATCGAGGAGGAACAAAATGACGGCGAAACTGAAGGGAATAAGAATGGACTTGGTAAATCCAAGGCAGTAAACTTATTGAAGCGTTACAACAAATGTAACGATTTTACCTAATAGAATATTTATATTATAAGTAAGAATCTATACAGTAGTATGAATTGAATTTTTAATGAGCGTCACTATATAGAATATAATATAACAAAATGTCGAAGACTCGTGGAAAAATCAAAATTTTTAATTTCGTTTCATTATTTTCAGCATACAAATCTAACCTGCAAGTTTCCAGTAATATGCGCCAGCTGGCGTTCACGAAGCCTTGTTCACGTTTCTATTGAAGCCGCCACCTTCACAATTCTTATTCTTTAATCAGTTTCACAGTCACCAAGTTCCTCCAGTCACCATTTCCCGGTCCGATGCACTCGACACACCTCTCCGATCTGCAGCCAAAAGCTTTCTAGTCCGAACCGCCCAACTGACCGCACAGAACGAACACGGGTCGGTTTCCAGGACGCGGGAACCGTTTTCGGTGCACTTCGGCAAAGGCAGATCTTAAGACTCGTCTATATAGCTGATCCTGATCCTGGTCCTGTGGCTGCCGTTGCGTGCCATAATCGACGTCGAGCAGCAACATCCTCTTGCTCCTTCGGGAGTGCGGCCGGCTGAATCTCAGTCGGTCGTGAGTTGAAGTGCACTGTGTCGTGTCGTCGTGGCCCGACGAGAACCACCCTGCAGGCTCGGTCACCGCAGACTTCCTGGTCTGACAGTCTCCGCAAATCCTCTATTTTTGTCCTTGGTACAATATATGTCTGAGACCACGGACATTCGCTGATTTGAGCGCACCAGCGTGTCTCCCCTCAAATATTTGTCGGGTTTCTTCTAGACGATTGTGGCCGAAAGTCAAACGCTAGAAGTTAAAAAATTAGAATGAAAATAAAGAAAATTGTATGATATTTATTATATTACTTTTTTTTCTGTTCTAAAGTGTAATAAAATATGAGTACAATATGTTAATAAAAAAAACTGTATAAAATAATATTGTATATATATTTTTTTTTCTATTCATAATTTATAATATTAATACATGCAATCCAGCACATTCAGTTGAGTTATAACCGTATAACATTAAACCGGATTTCACAACAAACAGCATTCATCTATACATTTTTGAGAACATTTTGATTTAAAGATTTTTTTTTTAAGAGCAAAACATCATATAGTGTTCACGGGCATCACGGCTTTGGTAATCAATAACTATGTAGAATTGATTGTGTTATTCTAATACTACACAATAATTATATATTTACAACTTACATATTATACAACCTCAAATCTGTTACATTTAGTTTAAAGCATCGTTAAACTATATGAAGGCAGCAAAAAAAGCAAAAATATATCAAAAACGAAAGAAAAGGGTTTTGAAAGTGACGTTTCTATTTCATAGAGTTTAAAGCAGAGATATTGAATTTTGACCGTCCAAACGGTGTATATATTTTCATATGAACGACGAACTGTTCGTTGACACAAAAAAAACCCGACTTTAATGAATTTTTTTTCATATATGTCGAATATTGACACTTGTAGATTGCTATTTGACATAAATTTTACTTTATATTGAATTTTGCGGCTTAAGTATTTCCGAGAACATCTCCAATTTGTTACATTTAGTTTGTAGCATCGTTAATCTATATGGTGGCTGAAAAAAAACAAGAATATATAAATTTTAGCTGGTGTAACGATAGGAAAGGGTTTTGAATGTGACGTTTCTATTTCATCGATTTTAATGCAAAAAGATTGTATTGGAACCATCCAAACTGCGTTTATATTTTCATGCGAACGACGAACTGTTGTGTGATACAAAGAATTCCTGAAGTTATTCATTTATTAATGTTGGTACAAATTTATGGAAATAAACTTATGAGGATATGTATGGGGTACCTGTACGGTCTTCCGATAGAGCTGACGTCGTCGTTCGGGTGACTATCACTGGGCATGTACCGTTTCCGCCAAAATTTGAAATGACCGATTCCGCCATCGCCCGTTTCCGCCAATTTTAAAAAAGGTTCGATTCCCGTTTCCGCCAATTTACCTGATATGGTAAAATTATTTTAATATATTCCATATTTTTGATACATGGTTTATAATATGATAATTGATACCATAAATATTGAAAAATATATAAATAACTAATAAATCAAATAATAAATACATAATATTTTGTCACAGTTTTAATAAATATAATAATAAAGTAAAAATCACTTATTCATATTAATTAATATATACAATATTTTGTCATAGTTTTCATAAATATAATAGTAAAACAAAAGTGACATTTCATAATTTTAATAAATATAATAATAAAGTAAAAATCATTTATTCATAAATACATAATATTTTTGTCATAGTTTTAATAAATATAATAATAAAGTAAAAATCACTTGTTCATAATTAATTAATATATATAATATTTTGTAATTTATTTAACATAATTAAATGCAACACTCTTTACGTACGAATAACGTGATATTAGTTTATTTTTAAAATCATTTATAGCCTTATTAGTCCTAGCACATTTTAAGAAAGTGGATTTATTTTTTGGGGTATTTGGAATATTTAAATTTGAGCTGTTTATTTTAATGTAAGTGTCCGTTTGGACATTTTCAACCAAAATTTTTAAAAATATACTTATATTTGGGTGCGATTTATAAAACTGTTGATTAAAGTGCGAATGAAACGATTCACAATTGTTAGTTGTTAGACATAAACTTTCTGTCATGCATGCCCATATTTTTGGAGGAAATTTTGAATTTTCGTGTATATAAGTTTCTAATAAATAATCTGAATATTGCGTATATTGATGATTATCTGGCATATCAGTTGTACATTTGTACCAGCAATTATTTTGCCTGGTCTTTTTTCTTCGGGATCTCTACCGGTTCAATGTACCAAAACTCTTGAATCCTGTGCGTTCTGTTTATTTATGATGTACATACAAATTTTTTGGTCAAACAAACAACTTAAAACAACTCTACCGCCGAAAATTAAGTTTAAAAAATTTTAGTATCCAATAAAATGAGCTAGATATTTTTTACTTGTGACTAACTTACTTGAACAAATTCAATAACATTAAGTTGTGCTGTAGTAGTGTAGTACAAAAGTAAAAAAGCTCTCCCCGCGAAAATAAAGTTCTACAAAGTCTGGGAGTACTTCAATAAGTTACCAACAAATACATTGGATATATTTGACACATATATGTATCTGTTAAGATCGTGTTCGTAGACATAAATGGTCTTTAATTTGAGGACCTCAAATGAATAGGGCTTAAGCAATGGGTCCAAAAGATTTCTATAACAAAAAGGGTGGGAGATTTGTCTTCCGCACATTACATACACATAATTTTATCTATGATACAATTGCCAATTATTGACTATGGACTATGGTATACTAATGTACAATTCAAAACAATCACAATTAAAAATGAATATTAATGCATTGCATTATCATACACATTTAGTAAAAAAGGTTGTATACAGTTATAATAATAATATATTATATCGTCTACATTATATCTTTATAATAAATCTCGTGTCAAGATCTTCGAAGACCCTAATCTCCGAAATCATTTAACCGATTTTAATGAAATTTTGTAAATGTCTCTAGCTTGGTCCAACCACAGAATAGATTAATTCATCTATTTTTGGTCCAACTTCATAGATAAGATAGCTGTTATCTGGAAAAGCTGCCCATAATTTTTTTTACTGCGATTCTTATTTCAAGATTTATGATTTAAATTTTTGTGCATAGATGGTTCCATTTGGTTTCAGCTTACTAATTATACAAATAATAGTAATTGTTGCAATGTTGCTATTATTGTTACTCGGGTGAGATAAAACTGTATAAGTATACATCAAATATTAATATTCATTTATAAATATTAATATTTAACTATTAAATAGTTGCATTTATCATTTATGGTTTCGAATAAAGAAATTATTGGTCGTTGCCCGTTGGGCAGGACAACTAGTAGGTGCCCAAATAATATAATTCTTGGGTGTATTCTATTATTAATCGTAACTTTTGAACAAATTGACGAATTAAGATTAAAATTTATACAAATAGATTCCTTGAAACTTGAAGTATCTATGTTTATCAAATTATACGTCTAAATATATAATTGGTGGGTTGAAGTAGACAGCATTTAGTTAAAGGAGGTAGTGTCAATTTAATACTAGTAGAAGCAAATTAGTTCCTGCGGTTGGGGTAGTGAAGAAAATCTTAAATTTGGCGGTGCTAATTATTAGCGTGACTCTAAGAGTTAACAACAGGCTCAGGCTTCCACGCAATTATATATTTTGTGTTTAATCATGGCTGTCGATACTATCTACAGCCGTGCGTTCGACTAATTCGTAGTTCATCACAAAAAAATAATAGTATTTTCGTTTACCTAATATAATAATATATATGTATTGTGTTACAAATGTTAAATATTAATAAACTAACTAGTGACTACTAAGTATTACTGACACAGGTACCTACAATGTTTATGGTGTACAGTCCCCCGATGGTCTTTGATGATAAACTTTAAATGAATGGGAATAATAAATTATCGTCTTATTATTAAATTATGAATTTTTTTTGAAAGTTATAACAAAGTGTATAGTTATTAGTTATAATTGGATATTGGTATCGTTTCAATCTTGGTCAACGATAAACCGTTTCCTGAGAAAAATATACATATTATAGTTTCAGTTTCTACAACAATTAAATGACTTTTATAATTGTCCATTATATTATTTGTTGGAAAAAAATATCACAAACTACATGGTTAATGTTAAATATATATATATACCTATATAAGATAATTATAGGTTGAAATATATAGTTATTGAAAACTGTAAAATAAAATAATGTTTTATTTAACAAATATTTAAAAAATAATTGAACAGTAAAAACAGTAATATATATTATGTATATAAATAAACTTGTTTATTTTTAAAAACTTAAACTATCCTTCCATATAAATAAACATTTTATAATTATATCCACTATTCACAACATTTTGTAATAGAAAAACAATGAAAGTATGAATTTTTTTTTAGCGTTAATATAGTTGATGTATTTAAATTACTTATTATTTAACCTTGAATTGAATATTGCAAGTGCTTTGTTGTGGATTTCTTTGTTGTGCTTCTATAAAACAAATACAATATAATATAAGTATCTACAAATAATTGGTTCAAAAATCTTGTTTTAACAAAATGTTGTACACATGAGAGTGAATAAGATATTTGGAAAATACATATCATTAGACGATATTCAGGCTCAGTTGATGTTTTTTTCATCATGGAGAGTTTTCCTCACTAAATATATATTTTTAATTAATAAATGCTGTAAATGCAATGTATAATTTTTACGTATCGGAAATTCTAGAAAAAGTATAATAATTTTTTTAGTAAGTCTTTAAACTTCAGAGATATGATGCTCATTTGTTTCACCCTGATATTGTTTACTGCATTTTTGCATGTTTTTAATTTTTAGTACTATTTTGCTAATTTTTAATTATAGGTGCTCTGTTTGGTACATTATCACATATAAATAGAATCAAAAACATTTTATTTAATTTTTTTCATATCTGCTAATAGACAATGAATAAAATTAGAAATAGAATTATTGGAAATTTATCGGAAACGCACATATTATATATAACTTTTGAGCCCTGATAATTAGTGACAATATTTATATAGAAAAACAGGATAAAGATATAAGGTTTAATTCTTAAAAAATACCTTAGAAAATGTCTTTAGTAATTTTTATATTTTTAAGATATTTTCAAGTGTAAAAAACAATATCAAAAAATATTAATATACACACGAACCTATACTTAAAAAATGGTAGAGATGAAATGATTTTTAAAAAAGGGACGTGGTCACCCTTTGAATATCTTTAAAAATTAAAAAAATTTAATTTAATATTTCAATAATCTACATATTATTATGGTAGCTCAGGTAAAAGCTACACAACAAAAGGAAAATGGTTTTGGTTTTACTCATGTTACAACAAAAAAAAAATTATGTAACTGAACTAAAAATTATTTTTTTGGTTATTTCACTAATCAAAATTATGATAATGAAATTATTCTTTAAAAATATTAAACACAAAATGTACCATGATAAACATTTCAAAACTTACAATATTTTTGAAAAAAATGCTTAGGTTATTTAAATTTTCATTTTTCTTCATTGTCATATGGTTGAATGTCTTCAAACTGTTCAGTATAATTGAAAAATCTCTGAAATTGTATACAAATTAAAGACATATAATTATGATTGTACATAGCCAAGCTGATCAATATCAGAAACTGACATTTAGTTAGGCAAATAATCTTAATTAATAATTTATGTTACGTCTCTAATAACTAACTCATTGAAAAAAAATAGTGGAAACGTAAGGTAGGATTGATTAAAATATTAGAATCTCAAAATTTTGAAGTACCTATTGGTTTGAATAAATACCTAGTGAATACCAAAGATCATTGTGTACAAAATAGAAAAACCATATTTATACACAAGTAAACAGGGGAGACAAATATATTTTTTATGACATATTTTATATCATAATAAAAGCAGAGACATATTTGTTTTATTTATTTGCATTTCAATTTTAATAAGAAGTATGGAATCCTTTAAAATAATGAACTTGCATTGATTTAAGGATCAAAAAGTACATACCTACATAAATAAATATTTTAAGCATACATTTTTCATTTTACTATTTCTTTTTAACACACTTGTATGGAAAAAGTATATTGATAAATTAATTTACAATAACGAGTTACAAAAACTACACTAAATTCAATTATATGATCACCTTGAATTATATTTATCCAAAATAATGGTTTGTCCATTTTTTTCTTCATTATTTATATTTTGACATTTCTTAATTCCATCTGGAGCAAGCAATTTAAATTGTATAAAATTATGTAACTCCCCTACATTGTCCACTGAAAAATGTAAGTGCAAAATTAATAAATTTAAATAGATAATAAAACTTAAAAGTAAAATATTTAAGGATATTATACTGACCCATTTTGATACAAGATAATAACAATGTTGAAATAAAAAATAATAAACAAGTTATATTGATTTGTATAGGTATTAATACTATGCACTAAGCAATAATGCAGTATATCAATTGAGAGTCGACAAAATACAAATAAATTTAAACGTTAAAGTTTGATAACGAAATTAAATTTTGAATTTTTGAATAATAAGGTGGAAATTTAATGTAGAATGTGGATTGATAAGCCGATAAGACCGATAAGTTGTTAACATTTTCCCCCGCCGATCGAAAACATAACGGCAGTTAAACGCCGCTAGGTTCGCTGCCTATCCGAAGTTTAGTTCCCCCTCGCTATTTTGAATTTTTTTTATCGAAACGTATGTAACTCATCGAATTAAGAACGACTAGCCCTGGGATTAGTATAAGGTCAATGGATGCCATCGCCAATCAGAATTTGTGGTTCGGACTTCGTTTTGAAGTTATTGCGAAAAACAGGGATGACCTGTTCTAATGCTAACTCTAAATTTCATCAATAATGCCAAGTTGTCATCACTTATCAACAGTTATTAATATACTATAAACTACAATTTCACTTAATTTCCAGTATAACTAATAAAACGCCTCATCAATATTTCGACATCAGCTCACTCGAGATTCCAGAACCAATTAACACTTAATTGGTTGATTCAGATTTTAATATTCCTGGTCAAATTAATATTTTGCTTGGCGTTGAGGTATCTTATGTATTTTGAATGGACAAAAGTATCCCTTATCAGATTGTGTAGTTCTATACTTCTACATCACACATTTACACTAACATGATGGCCGAATGGCCGATGGGTACCTATTGTCTGTGGGAACTCCGGAACTGTCTGTCGTCAGCGCATACTTATAATAGAACACCATCGCACAATCCTAGTCTCAATTCAGCGCTAGTCTTACTTAGCACTAAATCTGATTGATATCACTGCGGCAAGTGAGACTGAAGTTGAAAACCATTTCTTGAACACTATTTATCGTGACAAATAGGTTAAATTTGCAGTACATCTATAGTCGTAACTAAGGAGGGCTTAGGGGGGATAACCTGCCTATAACTTAACGCTCTGCATCTCACGTTTTGCTCCGTCAGATTAAAAATTAAAGTGAACTGATCTTGTATAAAATTTAAAAGTACGATTATTATCTAGGGCATATTATAACCTTTTAATTTAATTTTAATTTTAAAGCGAGTTATAATTATTTAAAAATTGTGAATTGTTTGTAGGTACTTCTCAAAATACTCATAGATCGCTTTACAATAAAAATATGATGGAAAGCCTATGAGGAAATGAAAAACCCTACGTCCCTACATAATAATCGTGGCTTTACATTTTTTAAGAAGTCAGTAGGTAGTAGGTACACTCTAATTTTTTAACTAATGGATCTAAACGTAATCTGCTTAGACGGAGACAACAAATGTATGTGTCACATTCTCTTAATACTTCATAAAGTTAATAAAGATATAAGACTCAGGATTGCAGTTTTAAACTAGGTACATTTATCTAAACCGTAGTACCTATATGGTATACAAATATTTACAGACTACATATAATATTAGCATTAGGGAATATCAAAAATATAATCATGTTATTATACTTTTTTTTTATAATCTAAATGTTTTAAAAAAATGTTTACATTATTTGAATTGTCCTATTAAAGATGGCGTGCCTATGGGTGCGCGGGGGGGGGTCAAACCCCTCCCTCTGAAAAATAAAAATAATAAAAGTTGACCATAATATAATATTTATGTGGAACTTGATGAGGCTAGAGCTGGAGATAAAAACCCCTCCCGAAAAAAAATTTCAAGGCACACATTCATGACCTAAATCATATATACAATATTATATTATACATGTACTATAAATGGTAATATATATATATTTAACAATTTTAGGGTAAGGCATAGACATAATTATTATTAAAGAAGCGAGTGCTGTAAATTAACCAAGTTAAATTTTACCAATCCTTTTTTTACCTCAAACAATTTAATCAAAATCAACTATCCTGAATTGTAAGGAGGATATATCTTTTATCAACTGACAATAAACACCAATAAAATAATTATTATACTAATCATATTTTTTATTTTCTCGATGCTGTATATAAGTAATAGTTAAAAGTAAATAAATAATATTTATATATATTTTAAATGTATTAACTTTTGAACATTCAAAAATAAAGGGAATTCTGTGTTAAGTTTGATTATTTATTAATTCTATTGTGAATAATTAAATATTCATAATATGTACTGATACAATACAATAGGTCCATTTTTAGTTCTTTAATGTTATTATTAGAAAGAAGAAGAACTAAATTTGTTAGGTAGGTATACAACAATAGAAATAACAATCGTATTTACTACTTAAAAGTTGGCTCTAAGATATTTTATTATTTAACTGTTTTTACCACTTTATTGGTAAATATACAGATATTTTTTTTAAGTAAATTCTCAATCTATGCAGTATACACTTGTGTGATAGACTTTTATAGCCTTGTAGCCTATAGGTAGATGCCTATTACATACTTAGCTAAATATATCAACTGATTTAGACTATATATACATATATATATATATATATTATTTACAGATTCTATAAAAAAATTTTGATTTGCGAATAAATCATTTGATGATGAATTGTTTGTGATATGTTAAAAATGTTGTTTCTTTTTTAACAAATTGTTGTAAAATATGTATTTATATATCAATTTAATTTATATTTTTGATTACCTGGAGATTAGTTCTATCAAAAATCCCAAGTAAATACAATCCATTCATGAAGTACTGCGGATTGAAGAAAGTTTGATGTTGTAATGTAGATGTCATATTAGTATTTTTTTCTTCCAATGTATTAAAATCATCATTCTGCTTTGATGTATTCTGTATAATATATGTTCATAATTAAAACGTAAAAAAATATTAATTAAGTAAATGACATAGTTGTACAACATATTCAACAACTCATCATACAAAAATTAACAGCATTACTTTATGCAAAATTATAATTATAAATGTATGATTTATAAATTAACTAAATTCTAAAATTAGCAATATTGTTTTATTTAAAAAAAAAAATGCCTCGCTGAAAAACTGGAACATTGAAATACAATTTGTGTGTCATCACCTTCCACCCTTCGATCAAAAATGGAAAAAAGTACCATAGGGACACCACAGAGGGGTATTTAAAACAACTTTTCAAAAAAAAATTCAATAGTGTCATCAGAAATGTGGTACTTGTATATAAAAGGCCTATTTGTCCATGTTAATATATATTATGAGTAAATTCTCAATCTACGCAGTATACACTTGTGTGATAGACTTTTATAGCCTTGTAGCCTATAGGTTAAAAATCAGGATAAGGATATCAGTTTTTATAGACTATACCTACCTAACCTAGTTACAGATGGGGACTTAGAGTTATTAATACTTTCACCCTGAAACTTTTAAATTATTGTGAATCCAGCTACATTTAATATTTATAATATACATGGTTTAAAATAGAATACTTACGTCTTCTGAACTTTTTTCATCCAAATCAAATAAAGCATGATTTATTTCAAATCTAGATTGGTGATATAATTCGTGTTTATTAATTTTTAAAAGGTCTGCTGCATTGTATACATTAATTTCTTGAATGCTTTTATTTTCATCCAACTTGAATGAGTGGTTTTTGGAAATCACATTTTCAAACTGTAAATTTATTTTATTTTTAATAGGCCTATTCAAAATATCAAGGACTGAAGATGGTTTAGCTGGATCAAAATGTGTATTTGTCTGCATATAACCAGGCACATAGTGATTATTATCTTGTACATTCTTGACTGTATAGACTTCATCATGAACGTCTGCATATTGTCTGTGCCTACAAGTGTGTAAAATGGCATACGATATATTTTATAATAACATTGAAAACAAATAAATTATTAATTATATTATTACTATGATAAATTAATTGTATTATTTTCATTGATAATCATGAATCATTAATAAATATACTGTACCTACATAACTGATACTTCTAGACTCTAGTCAAGACTACTACGAGCTACTATATATTATATAGACTATTGAGTACCTATAAAATATATATCTTTATTAGATTATATTAGCAAGGCTAGAAAACCTTTTTTGAGTCATATGCTAAAATGTTGTAATTAGTTATAAAATAATTTAAGAGAGGGTAATATCTTTATAGATTTTGGACTGAAGGGTGTTTTGAAAAAATGTGTAGCTATGGATTTTGTTGGTCTTAAATGTTTTGATGAACCACAAGCTGCATTAGCTTCATCCAAAAATATAGGTATTACCTATTCCTCTGCATGGAATTTAAACAATCATTAGAGGAAATAAACTTCCACATAATATATGTATAATGAGTGTTGACATGAATATTGAATTCATTTGGAATGGCCCATTTTTTTTATCAAAGTACAAAATATTATGTCTGGAAGCATCAGTGAATTCCAAAATTTAAAAATTGTTAACTTTATTCTATAGAAATGATCAACTATTTTTTTATGCAAGATAAAATAATTAACGTATGATATCTCGAGAGTAATAAGAGTGGGAGTGATGATAGTTATCTACGGTAATAAAATCCAAAACAAATGTTATTAATTTTCTCTATAAATATATATAAATGTTGATTCACCAAACATGTTCACCCTTTTTTTCTTTAATAAAGCAATTATTCAAAATTTGACTTTTGAAACTTATAAATATATCTAAAGACCATATATTATTTTCAAATTCTTGAGATTTTTGGTACTACTGAAGGAGTGACCCGTGGATATACAAACTTTTTTTTTCAAATGAGAACAACCCTCATCACCCCTTTTCTACTATGAATTAGTTGGAGGATCATTTTTTTGAAAACTACTATGTACGTAACAAAATCAAAATATTCAAAGGAGTAATTGTTGAGTTATTTAACTTTGTACGAGTACAAGATGATAGGTCCATGGTTAGGCTTGGGAGATCTAGGGGCTATGGTAATCTAAAATTTTTAGTAATTGCCTAATATTTTATTATACTTAGGTACTTAAAGATCATATTAATTATATTTTATTGTTATTAAATACATGGCTTATTATACTTTTTAAAGCTCTCTCCAAAAGCGTTTTCTTTCTCCAAAATAAAAACTATATTTATTTTAAAATGTAATATTTTGTAATGTATTTGACAACGATATAACAAATTGGTTATTTTAAGAGGAGGTACTTAGCCAATAGGCAATAGAGCTGGTTACAAATCAGTAGGTAAGTATAAACCCATAAAAATATGTCTATAATTAGGTACCTTATTACCTCATAGGTAACTTATAAGTACGTATTACGTATAGTGTATACCTTCCGAATACTTAGTACTTACCGATTCTGTACTATGCCTGTACCTCGCTTGGAATACTGAGTTAATTCCTCACGAGATACCGTTTTATATATCACCATACGTAATGGTAGACGAACATTATCGTGATAGGGTTTTTTTATATTACTTTTCTGTTTCTTCAACTTCAACATAGTTAAAGCGTATACGAATGGTTATTAATTATTAAATATTAATACATTAATAATATATTATTAAATTAAACTTAGTTGAGGTTTTAAATTTTATTTGCAATACACTATTGTTTAATATATATTATTATTTATTAAATATTTTTATTTAGATACGAGTGTATACGACGCCTGACGGCTGACTGCCTGAGCGCCTGACATACGTTACACGTAAATACGTAATTATATGAAATTAATAATTATACGAAATAGGTAATAAATATGAATGTACTTCAATTCATGGAAAAATCAAATTCACCAACCAAGATATATGCCATGAGTTAAGAAAATAGGTATAAAGAATAAGGTATATAATATCATAATTCGTGATTCATATACATAAGTATTATTATATTTATGTATTCTATTTTACTATAAATGACAATTATAAACAATATGTAGGATTTTTCAACTGGAGGGAATTTTTCAATTGGGGAGGGAGGTCTTAAAAATGAATAATTAGGTACAGTTTTATTTTTATTTTAACTAGTCTAATAATTTTAAACGTTTAGAGGAGATGTATTTAAAAGAGTTTGAACAACTCCTCAACTCCTCGACTTTTTTAAGAGAAAATATGCTGTGATGATCAACTTTGGTGGAGGTTTTTGTTGGAAATTTGATCTGAGTAGTTGATACTTTTGGGAGATCAAAATTAAAAATTCTCTGTGCTTCTTAAAATAATTAGGAAAAAAATGAAAATTTGTTAAAATGTTAATATAATTATTTATTACTAAAAAAAATGTTTGGTCAACTTGTTTACAGCGTCTTCGCTTGGCCCCTTGAGCCCTAGACATCGTCTTATCCCAGACGCCGTCAGGTGGGAGGACAGAACATACAACATAAGACATAACTCAGACGCTAACAGGGCACAAGTGCTTTTAATACTACCTTCATCGCATGGGTGGAGTTACCAGCCCACGCAACATGCGTTACCCTAGCTTGTCTCATGTCTGTTACTGCGAATCCACGCAGTGCCAGAACTGAGACTGATTAAGATTTGAGTTTCATATACGTCTGGGTCGTCCTCCTGAAGTCGATGACATGCCGTACATTTTCTGCCAGCCCGTATTCGGAGACTTACGGGCGGACACCTCGCCAGGGGTGAAGAGTTTCCCAAGGAAGCCGAAGAGGCTTTCATGATCTTCTACAAAATGGTAGATTAAATCCTGACTCTCGAGGAAGAGGAACAAGAAAGGCAGCTGAAGCTGCTATGCCTGACCAAGCAATAAGCATGATTCGTCAGAGTTTCTGGTCAAGGTCGGCTTAGGAATGAATGTATAAAATGTTCAGTTTTTATAATTAAGTCTTGAACATGTAATGTTCTTTCTTTCCAGGGTTCTTAATAGTAGTTCCTACTGTAACCAAAAAATCACTGACTATTTTAGGAAAATTTTAAATAACTGCCTATGCCAGTAGAATGTTTTTTTCAAAAACGAATTCAACCTGTCTACCTACCTATATTATTACTAATAAAAATTTAAAGCAATGGGGATTTGTAAGGGTTTTTCAAAATGTTGAGTGGGTTTAACCCAGAAATTAAGCCTGGATTTTTTTGGAGCCGAGCTTCTTATGCCAAACCTATAAACTATATAACCTTCAAATGAAATTACCTACTGTTGTTTTCTATTTCTTTTTCATATACTATGCAGATTTCTATTTTATATCTATTTAGTATTTTATTTTATTTATTAACCTGTTAGATTAAATTTAAATATATTATCGGTTGTTACAAATTGGACTTCCACCAGTATTATTCAAATTAATAGGTATGAAAAAATTGGACCACGTATTTTCATAAAATATTTTTTAATTCCTATAAGAATAATTTACCAAGAATCTTGAATTAAATGTGGTTCATTATTTTTTATTCGTGTATACAAAATTGTTGTACATAAATCCATAAATTAAAGTAGAATATTTAAAATATCTACGAATAGCACAAAAAGAGCCAAATATACCTCTAAAAATAGGTGCCAGTTAACATAATTATCGGGGGACTGATACTGTTAAATGTTGAAGGAACTAGATTAAAATATGTAATTATGTGTTACTGTACTATACATATAATTACCTACCTATAGGTACGTATAAGAACTTAAAATTATATTCAATAAAAGACCAAAGAAAATGGTGCACAATTAAAGAGTCTGCCATTTCAGTCACTATTTATTTAACTAACTATATAATATGTAACTATCTACATAATATTATGTTTTTGGCACTTTTTGCCGAAGCACGAGGCTTCCATTTAAGCTATTTATAAGTAATTAATAAATGTTGTGGAATTGTGCCATAGTAACCATTGTGTAGGTATATTATTTATTAAACTTAGCTGTATCAATTAAAAAAACCCTAACAAATAAAAAATACGAACGAAAAATAAAATACAAAAATTCAAAAACAAACTTTCCTCCCAGAAAGATTTTTATAATTATGGCATAAGGTACCTAATATCATTATTATTGTAATATGCCATAATGATTTATCATAATCATTATTCATTATACTAAATATACCTACTTATAACTACAGGAATAACCTACTCAGTACCCTTATTATATTCTATGGAGCCTTGGAGGTACCACGTTATTGTCCACATTCATGATTGATAAATAATAATTGCTAGTTGCTAGTTTGCTACCTATTTGATATTTTGAACAATATTCATATTATACTATTAACACGGTTCTATAGAAAATACAATATAGTATGATTGTATGAATATATATAAATAGGTAAGTACATCTAAATACATAAAAGCTAAGACGCGCTAAGTACAATATTCGTCGCTACTTCTCAAAAACGACAAAACGTGTATAAACTTTGAAATTTGAATAGTAGTTTTAAAACTGGTTTCCTATTTTAATGCTTTAGGTGTGCAATACAAAATAAATGAAAATTTAATAAAATCTCATTTTATAGATGGTGTCACACAGTTACACAGAAATTGCGTTTTGACAAACGGAAATCTAATATTTGTTTGTACGTTACGTTTAAGTACCTAAATTTGTGTGTCCGTGAAAAATGAAAAAAGTATACACTGTAATACTGTATTAGTTATATTACTCGGTATATTATACATATTTTTGAATTCTGCTTATGGGACATGAAACTAAACAATTGGATCATCAACCTCCTGCAGACGGAATTATAAAATATAGATATGGTACTATTGGTACCGAGTAATGTGGGTAACTGGGTAAGTGAGAGACTGAGTTCTAGAGCGTAACTACCCAATGTTCGCAGACACACTGTACATGGTAGGCGAAGGAGCCAAGGAGGTAGCCATTGGTTACAGAAAATAAAATAGTTATTATAATGATTGGTTACTTGGGTACAATTTTCAAAATTGGATTATAATGTAATATTTTATTACTATCACGGAAAGTTCTTAATATTAATATAGTTGACGGGGAACGAGGATTTATTGGAAAAAACCTAGATTTTCTAACCGGTAATCACCCATAATTTGTTCCGATTTTAGGATTACTTCAGAGCTTTGGAAAATTAACTCTTTGGCAGTATTTAAAAACAATTTTGTTTATATTTTTTTATTTTATTTAAATTGGATTCTTGCCTAGATTTCTGTACCTATCACAATTTAAAAGTACCTACCTATGTAAAGTGATTATAGTCTATGATTTTTAAACTTACAAAAATAAATGTACCTAATATCGCATGATATAGGTACCAACAGGTATAATATGCGTAGTATATAATAAACATATACATATAACATATTTGTCGATCAGTTTGTTTGTCTGGGAAAAGCTTTGAAACAGTTGAACTGATTTTTACGGGTTTTCACGGATATTGAATTACCTGGTGAATAAAAAAGTTATTATATTGAATACAAGCCAGTATACAGAGGGGTTGGGGTTCAATCCCCCCTGCCAACATTTTTAAAGTAGGTTTATTATATTTATTATAATAAAATAGTGGTATAATTTTGTACGTTTAGTTCATATATTAAACTTATTTTCTATATTTTGAACCCCTCCCCCCACCTCCGAAATTTGATCCTAAATACATAATGCTTGATTGGATATAATTTTAGACCTGCCGTATACCTACCTATATTGGCTATTTTATATTTTATCTAAATAACCCGCAAATAACTAGTGTTCTAAATCTGTGAAGCTTACATTAAATCTTTACAATTTAAATTATAAATCTTGCACGAGGATTAAATTTGCTACGGGAAAAGCTGTGCAGGAGCTAATATTGTATAATTTTTAAGTTATATGAATAATATTTACTTATTTATACAAGATATTTAAATTTTTGTTACTGAGTTACTTTTTTTATTTTTTATTTCAGTGTTTCCATTTTCAATAGGTTTATCATAAAAACACTCTACTGACTACTTTCGTTATTCGTGGCTAAAAATTAAACAAAATATAAACATTTCCATGACCTCAATCGAAACATTGAAGCAAGTTTATTATTCTTATGTTAGACATAAGAGGATAGTCTTAATTATTAAAATGAGACATTGCAAATGAAATTGACAATATCGTCAACATTATTTAGTAAGCTCTCTACTATCAATAAATTAATATAAAAGTGCCCCCCCTGGTCGAGAAACAGACCTGTTATACTTCAGTTGGTAATCTTTTCGATACGATAATGTAACTTATCCCATTTTTGTTGTTATCGGCAAATGTTTTGCTGTGGCCTGTAAGTGTAGACTTTAGCTATACGTTGAAGTGTAGTGTTTGCAGGTCGTGGAATTCAATAACTAGTCCGTACGAGTTCGTAGAAAAATGACTTCCAAATAGGTAGATTATTCGTGTTCTACATCACGTTTCTCCGTCCTACGAGCATGCACCACAAAATACAGCGTGGACATGATTCACAAAGATGTCAAAACGTTGGTGCAGTTAACAAACATTTTTAAACTGTGAGTGTGCTTCTAACATTGAACTAGTATATTATTTTCTTCAATATCGTTGTAAATTTCCATATTTTGTTGTGGACTACAAAAAGAGTAAAAATTGTTGGATGAAATTCTTGTGCTGTAGAATTTTATCAACCATCTGATGTCATTGTTTATAAGACAGCAAATTAAAATAAAACATTTCTATTGGTATGTTCATAATATTCAAATAATATGTGATCCTAAATTATAGATGTCTACTGTAACTGAAGAGAAAAAATCGATCAGAATGGTCGGACCTAAAGTATCTCAAATTGCAAACATTTTTCAACGTCCTACAGTGACTAAAGATCCAGATATAATAGTAGTTAAGCAAAATGCTTCGCCTACATTAGATAATAAATTACCAGTTAAAGTAGAAACGCCTAATCAAGTGACTGTTGTAAGGACTGAAAGCCACTTAGCAAGATTTAATAATGCCAGAGCTCTTTTCGAAAAATTGGGAACAGGTAAGTTTTATTTTATGTAATATTCATTAAAAAATATTATGTGTTGGTATTTATTTCAATTTTGTCATCTTTCAACAATTACTCATTATTATGTAGTTTTAAGAATTAATTTTTTTTATTTGGAATTTATCATTTTATGTTGACAACTATTTAGTAGTGTATTCCTTTACATTTTGTGCTAGGGGATTAACCAAGCATGCTTACCCACTTTTAACCTTTATTACTATTATTCAGATTGTGATTTGGAAATTTTTTAGTTTAACTAAGACCATATTTTCAGATTAGTAGATTTTTTATACCATTTATTTGTTTGTTGTGTTTCAAACTTATTTGTTTTATTGTAAATTCTTTTAAACACATTTTTGTTGAACATTTTGATGTATTTAAATCAAAACCTAACCAGTTATTTCTGAGTTTAAAGACACTTAGGTTGAGGTAATAATCTTTATTAATGATTTCACATAAAGTATAAAATAGATATAACACCTATAACCTATTGGTACTTTCCTGTTATACAATACTATAGCTACTATTGCAACTACTGCCCAAGATTACTTCCATTATTGGGGCTACCACAATCTTAACAATATCCCAATTACAAAGAAAGGGACTGTGAATTTTTATTTTTGACCTCCGAAAGAACCAATTTAACTAGATTCACTCTCCTTCCAGAAAAAAAATTAAAGTTAAAAATCTAAGTATTTTTACTCATCTGAAAGGTGACAGACTCAATATAAATACATCTATGTAAAATCAATACATTTATCAATCAATCTAGAATATTCATTTAGACAATTTGTTTTAAATTAATTAGATTAATTTTTTTTTCATAATACAAGTCAAATCACTTTTACTTTATAATATTAGGTTAAATATTACTTTTTTAGTTACGCAGGTGATTTTAAGTTTTTATAATTTTATTTTCCTGTAGCATTTAGTGAAATTCCATGCAATAAATATTTTCATATTCATCTCTATTTTTCAATATCTACCTATATGTAACTTTTTTTATAAAAAATTATTTAGTACCTAAAAATTAAGTAAGTATGATAATGAATAAGCATTATTTTTAATTAGTTATTTCTAAAATGCCTGGTTATTACATTTATATAAGTACTTCTTATAGTCTTAGTAACTTATTATTTTGGTTCATCATTTTTCTAATCTGTTTATACTTCTGTACTATTTATAGGAGAACCTAAACCTACTTTATTGGAAAAAATAAAACAGAGTAATTCTCAAGACAGCATTTGTGCTAAATCAAGATCTCCAAGTCCACCTTCAAGTAATCTAAAATCAAATGGTATTATTGGAAGCGCACAGAGTCATTCACAATTAAATGGCAGTAAAGTTGTAAAACCTATTAAACCTGAAAAACCTGATAAGAAACTCAATAGTCGTGAATTAATAGAAAAACAGAAAAATTGGACATCTCATTTTTCTAAATCACCACGTTCATCCAATTCTAGGTAATAAATTTAATAGTATAATGTAATCTGTTAAATATTGTGAAATATATTTTTTTTTTTTTTGAAAATCTAAATATTAGATGATTGAATAATCATATTTATGCAGAATAATATCTGATAAGTATTAAAAATATATCATTTTTATACATAATTTCTGACAATCAGTGACGTAGTTATTCAGTTATACTTGATTACTGATAGATTTTGATCAAGCCTTTTTACAAATAATAAACTTTAGTTCCAATAATTGTTCTGGATTTTGAAATGTAGGTAATTGTCTTGGCCTCATCTATGCCTACTTCATTGAACTGGCAATGTCGCAGCTGCCATTATTTGGAACTTTTAAGTCCCTATAACAAATATTTTTTAAATATTATAAATCTGTCAACAAACCATATTACAAAAGTATAATACCTAGAACAACAATCAACATTACTAAAAACTAAACAATGAGTTGTTTTTTCTTAATAGGATAGTAAAAATAATTAAACTATACATATTATAATTTTATTTAAAATTGGATATTTTGGGGTGATGCAGTTCAGATTGACCAATTGCAAAAATATCTATGGTTGGCTCAGTAGTCCTTAAAAGTTTGATGTAGGACAAAAGTCACCTTTCTGCTTCCACTCAAATGACGCCACTGTTGACAATGTATATTCTTTAATATTCGAGTTATTTTTTTTTAACTAATTGAAATAATTAGATATATTTTTATAGAAATCAAGTTAATTTGATAATAATAAGTTATTCAAATTGTATTATTTAGGTATAACAGTGATCCTAGTCCTAATGAAGTTAAAGAGTGGATACCAGATACCAATACTGATGGTATTTCTCGGACAGCCTCAACTTCATCGTTATACAAAAATGTTTCCCATCCTACAAGTCCACCACCACCACCACCACCACCACCTCAAAAAGTTGATGAACATTTCAATCAAAATGATGAAGAAATTAATTTGTAAGTATTTTTTTCTATTATTTCCCATACAATTATTACATTATGTTAGTTAATTAAATATTTCAATTTTCATAATTGGTCATAAAATGAACCTGTTGTGTACAAACTGTAATCTTTATTTGTGGTAATATTAAATTTCTTGTTCGTACCTATTATGTCTCATTAAATTAATACTATTTTGACAAGCTAGTGGTCACCTAAATAGGGCCAGATTTAAAGAACTTATTTATATGAACATTTAAAATGTTTAACCCTCTCACCATGCACATACCAATAGTACTCTTTTATTTATTAGGTTCTGAGCGGACTTATGAATTTATTGATTTTACAATGATGTGTGTTTTTATATCTTTTTTTTTGTGTCCTCATCACAGTTTCTTGCAGTAAAAGTGCTTTGACTTTCTTCAACGGCAACCTTTTTGGTAAGAAAGTGAATAAAGTTGGTGCTTTCAGGAGGTAAAAATTTAAAAACCTGCAATAGTTTTCAAAAAGCATTAGGAAAAACAAACAAAAAATTAATGAAAAACTTGAATTTTTTATGCAAAACCAATTTTAGAAAAAATCGATTTTGGTTTTTAGTGTAACTCTAACAACAAATACCGTAGATACATACAATTTTCACTGAATATTTTTGTAATCATTTTCTATACATCATACAATTTTCAAAATATTTTGATTTGTGTTGAACTATTTATAGGCATATGAAGTTTTCGACAATTGATAGTTTTTTTTATACTCAAGTCTATTTAATTACAATTTAATACAAGATTCCTTATAAGTTTGTCACCTTTATCAAAAAAAAAAAAAAAATTGTAATTTTCCAGAATGTCAAATTAGATTTGAACCAACGTTTTAGAAATTTTATTCGTATTAGAATGACGTTTATCATTTTGTTATAATTCAGTTCCAAAACAGCCCAATTTTCCATAGATATATTTAATATTTTTCCAACATCACTGATAATTGAAGAATAACTTTTATTCAACTTACCGCCTACCATATTTATAATAAGTAATAACTAATAACAATATAAAATATCCTAAACTGACATATCGTCTCCGCTCAGGATTGTTTTTCGTATACAATGGTATTAAATCATTGAATTCAAATTATTTATCATCCATCACAGTGACCTCTTGGACACCGAATGTAGAACAAAGCGAAATCCACTTTTTTTAAAATTTGCATTACTTGTTTTGATACCATATTTTGATAGTCCTATGTTTTAAGTTAATGTGATTTAAAAAACAAACCATTAAAATTGGCTGAATAAGATTCATTTTTAATTTAATAATATATACATTTTTTCATTTTATGGAAACTAATGTTTTTTTTTACAGTTGGAATAGCTCTAGTTTTTTTTGTGCCAATGTTGCAGTCAAAATTAAAAAAAAAAATAGGTTTAGATGCTTAAATATGATATTAAAAATGTATCTGGTCAAGAAATGTTGTGTGTTACGTGAAAATAATAAATCATACTGTGTATAGAATAAATATAAAAATATAAATATTTTTAAATCTGTCTTAATTTAGTTGTATTTATCTGATTATTATTCATATATTATTTTAGAGACAGTTCTAGAACAAGTAATAACCAGGTACCTGAAGAAATATCTAATAAAAAAACAATAGAGTCACTTTCTGGCATTAATTATTCTGTTGATAAGGAGAAACACATAGAAGAACATATTTTTGATAATGAATTAAATGCTGAGACCATGGATGTAAATACTTCTGAGGCTGTGACTGAAGAAAATAAATTAAATGTAAGTTTTTGTGTTTTTATCCATATACTCGATACTAATTATAGTTAAATATTCTATATGATTTGGATGATTTAGACGTCAATAAGTGAACCTGAAATTATTAATGTGCCAATTTCATTAGACTTGTCAGATTCATATATAAATCAAGAATTACCTGTTAGTTTAAATTCCACATTTAATGTACCCGTGGATCAGGATATTGAAACCATTATTAGTGATATAAGTATGAATCTAAATGAAGCAAATTCTTCAACCCCTAAAGTTCAATTCAGTATTGGAGATTCTGCCAATCACACCGTGGCTACTGTTACTCCATTAGAAAGTGAAATTGATTCTGGATTTATCTCTTCTGAAGCTGTGACTGTCCCTGAATTAAGTAAAGGGTTAATTGATTTGAATAAAAGTGACAAATTTGCTGATGACAATGATGTTGAAGAAGTAAGTTAATAATACTTATATTTTTGTGAATAATAATAAACTTAGCTCATCGATGTCCCCGTAATCTTTAAGTAGAGCATGCCTAGCTATGGCTTTATTTTTAGTTTGAATGTTGCCATATTTATACACACAAAAATTATGGAAATTATAACCAGCCAATGTCTAGTTGTTGATAAACATAATGTACCAAATTACTGTTTACTTATGACTTATTTTCATTTATATTTATGTATATTTTTAAGAATAAACTAACTCCATTGACACTGGATCTGGGAGATACGAGTATAAATAGAAGTTCAGAAGGTATAATAGATCTAGAGTCCTCAGGACAACCAGATATGATGACACCAGATGAAGCTGAACAATTACTTAGTACAAAGTAAGGTTTTAACTTTATTTTGCATGTAGTATAAATATTTTTGTAGCAATTGTAAGTTAATTAATCTAAAAATTTGGACAAGCAGTTACCTAAAGCCACTTAACCTAACCAAACCAGATTTATTTTTTATATTTTTACCTTCTCAAATCAATTATTCTTTGGAATTTAATAAAATAAAATATATTCATTATATTTCTTAAATTACTGTTATCACTGCTTGATGTCCTTTTATTTTCTGGGCTTCGTAATCCTTAGATATCTTGTAAAGTTATAATTTCCTTTTTATGCCATTTTGGTCACTCATTTACCATGTTTTCTTGTTTTTTTATTTCATCGCATGTCTTGATGTCTTCCTTTAATATGATTCTTCTCATTTATTTTATTGTCCTTACGTTTTGAACTAACATATATTTTTTCATATATTTTTTCTCGTATTATTCTATTATATTTTTATTTTGCTCTGCAATCATTCAAAGTTTTCTTATGTATAATTATATCTTTATCACTAAATAATTTAAACTTGTGATTTTTGTGTTTGATTGATTATCAAACAATGTAAAAGCATTTACATTGTAGTTTTTATGTTTTTAATAGTATAAGTAGTTTTTATCCAATATCAATTATAAATAGCAATTATTAATTTTTTTTATTACTTTTATGATTTTATGAATTATGATTTGGCTGCATGATAATAATTTTTATTTTTTTGAAGAATTTTGGAAAAAAAGAGTATGTAAGTAGTGATAATATTTGGCATAATATTTTATAGAATTTATTGCTGCATTTATTAAAATGAACCTAATATTTTTAGTAGTCAAGATAATCTTTTGTCTGATGAAGAAGCTAAAGAGATTAAAAAATTACTATCGCCTTCTGATAATGATCAATTGAATACATCTGACTGGATGAGTGAAGTTCTTTCCATTGAATCCAATGATAATGTCAATAATCAAAGGTTTGTTTTTAATGAGTCACTGTAACCTAACCATACAAATTTTACATAAAATTATATCAATGTATAATTGATTTTAGTATGTAGAATGTTACACACGGATATTAAAGTTATATGTTTTTAATTTTATTAGAAAATATCTGATTATGAATTTTGATGAAAAATTTCATATAAGCAAGCATAGCCTACATTAACCGGATTAAGATAAAAGTCTTAAAATTCTGTACCATCAAAATTAGGCAATCATTTACATAAACCATTAACATGGTTCTTTGCCAATATTGTTTTACTACATAAATATGAAATTTGGAGTGATTTTATCTCAAATAAAGAGATCTTTTTACTTTACATTTGAAAATTAAAAATTATTAGTAAAAGAAATTTTAAATATTGAAATTTCTTATATAGGGTTATTACTTATTAGTATAAAGTATTGAACAAATTATTTATTTTTGGTTCTAATTTAATAGAACATTTGATAGGGTGTTGAATTAATGTTCATTTTTCTTTGACCAAAATTTGTTTTGGATGAAAGTTATTTTTTTATGAATTATAATAATATATATATATATACTTCAAATCAAGAATTAAAAAACTTCTTAACATTGCAATTGTTATAAGGACTATATTGGGTAGAAAAGGAAAATATTATGATGTACTTAAAGTGTTATTTTGAAACTGAATCTTTAACTGTTTAAGTCCGTTCTTATTTACTATTTTTTGTATTGACATTGTCTTTTAATAAAAATCATAGTGAAATCAATTTCAATAAAAAAAACTAAGGATGCTTAAGCTCTGTATTTTCTGGACATTTAAAATAAATTATAATTATGTGATAGTAATGGCTTTTTTGAGCAAAAATGTTTCATAAGTTATAACAATTTAACATTGAACACATAGGCGTGCGCAGACTCCGGTTTCAGGGGCAGCAAGAGATTACTTCGGCCCATTCTTCAAATTCACCATTAAACCCAGCCCACAGTTTTACTATTTTTGCTATTGGGTATCAAAATTAAAGTTGTATTGATTATTTGTTTATTTGGATAAACCGTTGTACAGTTTTTATAATAGACAGGTTTTATACTGATAAATTCTATAATCATAAAATATTCATGTCTATACTTAACCAAAAAAAAAAAAATCATTTGTGGAAATATAATTTTACCGAGGCCCATTATTTAATATTTTCCGGCCCCGGTAGCCCCAAATAAAGTCCAGGGGCAGCATACGCTGCCTCTGCTGCCCCCGTGCGCACGCCTATGATTGAACACTTGGCAGAATTAATCGTTAGTGATGTGCCACCTGAAACTAATACACGTCTTAATTGCTATTTCTTTATTAATATTAGTTATAAATTATAATATAGTAAAAAAAGTTCGACTAGTAACTACTTATCCTATAAATTTGGATATACATTATTTTCAATTATATTTTTGAAATGTATTAAATCAAAATCTTGGAACATGAAACTAATTAGTGAATTCTGAATAGTGATTTGTAATATAGTTATTGTCAAAATTAGATGTAGGCACGGGGCTATACAGTGTTTGTAATAATATTAGTAAATACTCCGCATTACTATTTTTGTCGCCGCAAAATGTGAAAATATGACCGTCGACCGGGTTTCATAGAAGATAGAAATAATAAATAATGTTTTATAAATTGATTTAAACTAAAAAAAATGCAATCTTTGAATAGCATAGTTATATTCATTAAACTCTGATAGTCTGATATCTCATGACAATCTATTTTTTATTTTTTTTTGTTTCTGTAAGCTGAGGTTTTGATACTTAGACACCAAAAATATTGGAGGATGCTCATTTTAAAATGTTGGGTTGCTAATACCCTCTACTCTCCCTTAATTGTGCCTGTGATAATAATAAAAAATGTATGTAATGCAATTAATTATTATTATTTTAGTCGAGAAATTAATGAAACTCATGATAATTATAATATGGAAGATTTTCAAGTTGATGATTCTTGGGAGCAAAGTTATGAAACAAAAACTGACACATTATCTGCTAATAACGGGAGTGTTGAATTTGATGAATATGAAGTTGATGGCGATTTATATAAATCCAAAGAATTTATTCCAGAACCCACCAGAGAAGTAAGTAATGCAAATTATAAACGTTTTGGAGTGACAAATAATTAATAAACGTGTGGGTATATATAATTAATAAAAAGAAATACTGATTACTTAAAAATTTTAAAAATTATACTATATTTATGATTAACAGTGAATTATATTTTTGTAGTGATCTTGAAACTTCATCCATGTGCAAAAAATATAATTTTAATCTCAAAATGTTATAATGTTGCATGGATTCACATTCTAAAACAATTCTGTTTGCTTTAATATTAATAAATATGTTTTGCCATTTACAAATTTTAAATAATAATTAAAATTGTTGATTTATTTACAATAAATATTATAGGTATTTTATCCAATCCCCTTAAATACTTCAAACTTTATAAAACTATTTGAGTTATATTATTGTTGTTATTTTTTTTTATTTACATAGATCACTTAAAATTATTATTTATTTCCAATAGACAAAGTTGGTCTTACTTCATCAATATATGTAAACTTGGAAGTTAAAACTAGTTTCTTTTAAAGCTTGAAAGTATGAAAAAAGTTTTCACAGCTTATGAAAAAAATTAATTCAACCCAACTAATAATTCAATCATAATAAAATATGGATAAATCTCTGAATAACATCATTTCAAAAATATTTCTACTTAACTTATAATCTAAAATATTTATAAATAGGTATGATGAAATGGCTAATGACTTACTTTAAAATGCATAATATTTTTATTATAATACTTAAAATGCCAACAAATTTTAATTTAATGTACTCATTAGATATATGAAGAAGGTGGTGTTCACTATTATGAAGATGGCCATTTTTGGATGGAAGTTCCAGGACTACCAGAACGTGATTCAGATGATGAATCTCATATTGTGGTCAAACAAAATATGAAAGTGAAATTTAGTGCTGATCCTATCAAAGTAATTTACTATTATAATTTTATTTTTTATTTTTTATGTTATAAAATATATTTCTATTTAGGTTTATAGCACTTTTTCAATGGGTGAATATGATCGGCGTAATGAAGATGTAGATCCTGTAGCTGCGTCAGCTGAATATGAATTAGAAAAACGTGTGGAACGATTAGATTTGATGAAAGTAATTTTACTAAAAGGTCCAGAAGGTCTTGGCTTATCAATTATTGGAATGGGTGTTGGTGCAGATACAGGTCTTGAAAAACTTGGTATTTTTGTAAAAACTATCACTCCTGATGGAGCTGCTGCTAAAGATGGCCGTATCCAGGTAATATATTTTGTTCTTGACAATAGTACATATTATATATTATATTTAATTTTGATTTTAATTATTTGTTTTATCTTAAATGATTAATTCTAAATTGGCTAATACATAAGTTCTTTATCAACTATTAGGTACTTTGCCTTTTTTTTTTATATACTTATGTTATGTGTCATAATAATTTTAAATACTCATTCTTCTCAAGTTGTGGAAGTTATATTCAGTAAAAAACATAAAAACACAATAATATGCACCAGTTTATGTACTGTAAAATTGTTAACATGCTTTCAAATAAGAACAATATTCATATCATAATTTTCTTTATCAAATATTTATCTTAAAAAAACATTATAAAATACAATCATTAAACTAAAAATTGCAATAGATAATAAAATCATACTAAACAAATAAACAATTAATTATATATAGTTGCATGCCGGTTTGGTCATCCATTAACTATCCAGTCTAAACATATCGAGACTAACGAATAATCAGTGTATACATATTTTAAAAAGTAAAGCTGTTTTTAGGTAACCAAATATAATCAGTAATAATTTGAGTGAAGATAACTAAAACATATGATCAAATATTGCTTTTTAGCTCAATTGTTAGTTGCTTTATTAAATAATTCTTACTGGTTGGAAATTTGTATGATTTGTATTTAAAATGTCTTAAAATGATCAAAATATGCAGATTCATATTCAGATTTGATGTAATGAACTCATGTAATATGTAGATTTATTTCGCACACTGCTATAACTTTCTATAAATAAAAAAAGTATGCTATTGCTTTAAGATCCAAGCCCTAACTTAAATAGTAATTATGAATTTTAATTTAATTTTTATCATTTAAAATTTAATTTAGGTTAACGATCAAATAATTGAAGTTGATAACAAGTCTTTGGTTGGTGTTACACAAGCATATGCTGCCTCTGTCTTAAGAAATACTTATGGTCAAGTTAACTTTGTGATTGGAAGAGAAACTGATCCCGAGAATAGCGAAGTTGCTCATCTTATTCGCCAATCATTAGAAGTAAAGTCACTGATATTTTATATGAAAAAAGTATGATGCTTATTTAAAAAATTTTAAAGGCTGATAAAGAAAGAGATACTCAACGACGTCAGCTTGAACATTCACTAAACCAAAAATTTTTTGGTAATGATCGAACAGAATCTTCTAGTGAAGATTTGAGTAAAACTGATGAAGCTGATACTGTTCAATCTTTACGTGAATTGTTACAAGAAGTATGTTGCTAAAATAAATATATATTTTTTAAATATTAGACGTACATAATTGAATTTTACAGAGCCGATTAAATGTAGCTAAAGCTGAAGATGAAGTTAGCAAACTGAAAACCAGGGTGAGAGCTTAATATATACTCGCTGGTATATATCTTCCTCTGGTTTCCTCTGGCTTACTTAACCAGTTGCTAACACTTAATACTTTTAGTTCACTAATATTTATGCATACATTCCACAATTTAACATATCTTTAAAAATATTCACATGTTATGTCCATTCATTATTTAATATTTTAATATTTATTTTTAAAACATTTAGGTAGAAGAATTAGAATGGAATGGTGCGAATAATAAAAAAGAAATTGCTGATAAACTCGTACAATCTGGACTACACTTAAATGAGTTGGATAAATGTTTATATGTTGCAAGAAGAGATAAAGAGACTTATCAAGGGATGTTACAGACATCAGAAGTAATAATTTGAACTTTTGAGTATTTTTTAAGATAAGTAAGGACTAATAATTAAGCAAAGAATTGCTTAATGCAGCGGTTCGCAACTTTTTATGAGTCTGACCGTAACATTTTAAATTCAACTTAAGGCTTATGGGCTTTTTATTATATTTTAATTTTAAAGAGAGTTATGAGTATTTAAAAATTGTAAATTGTTTGTACAACTTAAAATACTCATAACTCATAACTCTCTTTAAAATTAAAATATAATAAAAAGCCCATGAGAAGCCCTCCGTAATAATCTTTCCTTTAAATTATAATAAGAGGTCAATTCACTCTAATTTTTAAGCTAACTGAGCTAAATGTGATTTGCTGAACGTAAAATTTGATTTGTTATGCTCTTGGAAGACAGACAACACATGCGGGTACAGTGTCCTCTTAAATATCTAGATAAAATAAATGTATACTAATATACTATGATACAATAAAGAAGCATTAAGAGGACGTGATACCTTGTATGTGTTGTCTCTGTTTTACAAGTGCTTAACACAGCAAATTTTACGCTCAGCAGAACACGTATAGTTCCGTTAGTTTAAAAATTAGTGCGAATTGACCTCTTATAAAATCTAAAGGTAAGATTATTATCTAGTCAACCTCATAGGTTTTTTATTATATTTTAATTTTAATGCGAGTTATGAGTATTTTAAAATTGTAAATTTTGTATACATCTTAAAATACTTATAACTCACGTTAAAATAAAAATATAATAAAAAGCCTATGCGTTTGCCTAGATAATAATCTTACCTTTAGATTTTATAAGAGGTCAATTCACTTTAATTTTTAAATTAACGGAGCTACACGTGTTCTGCTGAATGTACAATTTGCTATGTTACGCACTTGTAAGACGGAGACAACACATGCGGGTATCACGTCCTCTTAAGAAATGCCTGGGGAATTTATATAACATCTTTAAAATTATTTTTTCCTTAATCATTTTAGTATCAGAATATTTTGGTTTTTTTTTCTTATTATGTATCCAACATGTTTTTTATTGTATTATTTTAATTTAATTTTCAATAAAAAAAATTCCTGAAATATTCTGATGAAATAATTATGAAGTTTTATCCAAATTCCTTTTACACATTAAACCTATAGGGTCTTTGGCAGTTCTTTAACCTACATCAAAATTGTCTTCTAGGACTGGTATCCATGACCTGCCGACTTGTGGGTTGGATGTCTCATACTGCTCCACTTCTTCTGTCCCTGGCATATGACTGCTTCCACTATTAAAAGCTGACGGCTTTGGTGAGAGCCTTGTCACCTTCCTCCAGCTCCCTTCTATAGTACTAGATCCTAAACTTTTACTCTGTGTCTTGGAAAATGGCTAACTTATTGGCTGATTTGGTGGGTATACCCTCTTAAAAGTTGGCCCATGCAGAATTGCAGAATACTGGCCTGTGTGCCACCATTGAAGGAAGAACAATATTTTATAATCATAAAATTGCTAATATATTAGAAGAAAATATTGTTTATTATGTATCTAAATAGGAAGTTCTACTATATTTTTATATGACATGTACATAAATGACCCTTTCTGCAAGTATTTTAATTAATAAAAAAACTAGTAATTTCACACAAATCAATATAATGAAAAATAATTATATGGTTTAAAACTATATTTAATCTCTTCAAAATGGCATTAAATATTAAATAACAAACTTAATAGTTCATACATAAATTTTCTTTGAGAATAACATACTTTAAAGGGACATCACATTCAAATTAGTAGTCTCCTTCTTAAAGCTCATAATATATAGATTATTTTGTTTTTTTTTTTTAATGCTAGAGATCAAAATTATCCCTTGGTTTTATTTTTCCAGTAAGATATTACATAAATATTTACAAATTAATTGATTATTTTCGGGCTAAAAATTGTAAATAATTGTTTACATTTTTAATTAGGAACGTTATATCAACTTGGAAAAAAAATACACAAAATTGAAAAAAATTCTCAAAGAATTTCAACAACGAGAAACTGACCTTTTACACCGAGAAGAATATTATTTGCAAGTGTTACAAGAAAAGGACACAGAATATAATGCTTTGGTTAAAGCTCTAAAAGATCGAGTAAGAGCTTAATATAAAAATATCTTTTTAAGAGTATATTATTTTATTTAAAAAATACTCAGATATACTACTTAGTTGGTAGTGTTAGTGTATAGAATATTCTATTATGGAATATAACTTATTAATTTTATTTAATATATCTTATTACTTTTATACTACATATTTATAAACTATAATATTTGATTTCATAAAAGTTGAAAAATTTGTTCTTAGGTAATACAAGTTGAACATGAACTATTAGATACTCAACGTCGGGCTGGTTTTCCTGTCCAGCTACCTCAAAATACAACTAGCACTAGTCATTATTTAACTACTTTGACACCACTTGCCAAAAAAACAAAAGTTGGTACTTTTATTAACATACATATATAATATAAAAGTTATAAAGTGTGAAAAAACTTATCGAATTACAATTTTAGCTTATACTTTTTATAATAATTCACTTCTTAGTTCTTTTACACAATCAAGGGCGTCCTCAAAAATTTCACTAGAGAAGGGCTAAATATTTATATTTTTTAATTTTTGTTCCACTTTTTGGCCAGTGATAAAGTATTGCTTGTGAAATGGTTTCTTTCATATTGGTAGTTTATGTAAAAAATTATTTATTAATTTTAATTTGTAGATAAGTTAATCTCACGCAATTCATTTAGTTAATTAAAATGCAACTTAAAATTAAAAAATGCTTTTTTTATTAATAAAATGTCCCAATTGATTTTGAAATTAACATTGAATTTTTAGTTATTTATAAAATAAAATGTTTAAGCTTAAGTTTATTTTTATTAGTTAATCGGTTAATATCAGTCGGCTCCAGTAATTTATTATTAACAATTACAACTGCGGTTAACAGCTGCAGCCAGCAGCTTTATTATAAAATGAAAAATTTTTGTTATTTTATATTGCATAATGATTATGATAATTGACCAAAAAAAAAAATAACCAAGGGAGGAGCAACTGCCCTTGTTTGACCCCCTTCGGGTGCTTTTTTTTTTTTAAATAATTATAGCAAAGCGATTACAAAAAGGAGTGTTCTATACACATTTATAATTGCCTAATGTTTGACCATATTTCTTATAATAGTTGTTTTTTCACTAGATGGTGTAATTTTTCTAAATTTTGTATGCTTGTGTATTTTTTTTTCTAGATGTATGTACATACTTGTCTTTTATTCTGTGTAACACCATAAAATTATTAATTTTTTTTAATGTTCTTATTTAGGTTACTCCTGTTTTGCCATTACTTCAACAACTTGGAGCTGATTTATCAGAAACAGAAGATTGCTTTGATGATGAAAAAGTTGCTACTGTTGAACGAAAATTACCCGTTAAAGAAGAGTTAGATCGCGCTGTTCCTCCGCATGAACTTTTAGATGTATCTTTATCAAAGAGTAAAGCTGAATTAGCTGCAAGGGGTCTTGCTACCCGACAATTACCAACTAATGCCCTTCGTAAATCTTTATCAAATAGCAGCTTAGTCAGTATTATATTAAATTTAATAATTAAATAATATTATTTGTGTGCATCAATAGCTGTATTATTATATGTATTTTAATTTATAATATTGTATTTTAGGATAACAATAATGAAGAAGTAAACCATATTGAAAACTCAATAGTTTTAGAACCTACTATTGAGTTAAAAGATGTATCAAGTATTGACTCTATGGTTCAAGAACAAAAACAAATGCCACAGTATGCGTCTGTTCAAAAACCACCACATAACCATCAACCTGATCAATTTTTGGCTCGTATTCAACAATCAACTCATTGTCGTAATTGTAAGTGTTTGCAAACAACATACAATGTTTTTAAAAACTAATAAAAACATTGTGTGAATCTCCAGTAAATGGTCCTCCGCCATCATTAGCCGAGCAGCTTAAGATTGTACTTGCTGAACGTGAATCACGTTTGTCAGAATCAAATAGTATATACTCGTCTGATCATAACAGTTCAACAAGTTCCTTTGCTGATGAAATCAGAGAAGCTAGCTTAAATTGTGGGTTTACGAATTGAGATGTTTGTCAATGGTTGTATAATCTATAATGTTTGTATGATTTAGTGAAGAAAGCCAATACTCAATGGCAACATACTAACCAATTGCCTCAAAGTTCCCCGTCTTCAGTATCATCATCTGAAAGTGTATCACCTGGTCATTATGCTTCTGATTTAAATAACTCCAAAGCAATTGGATCAACCGGTATACCTAAATAGTTCAAAAACATAGTGAATAATATGACTTATTAAAATCATTATTATTTTCAGATTCAATTGACATATGGACTCCTCCTCAATCGGCAGATAGTTCAATTACTGAGAGAAAAAACTCTCATGTTTGGCACAATGCACCTGTACACGAATGGTCTAAAGAGCAAGTAAGAATTTCTTATTACTTCTTCTTATTAGTTTTATTATATTGTTCACATATTTAGGGTACAATTAGTGTTGTCGTATATTTTAAAGTCAAACTTATTAATCCTAGGTATGTCAATGGTTATTAGCCTTAAGTTTGGAGCAATATATATCAAAATTCATGGAACATCAAGTATCTGGTGTTGGTCTTTTGAATTTAGATACTAAAGACTTTAAAAATTTTGGTATCATTGGAGATGATAAGAATCGACTTAAACGTAAACTTAAAGATCTTAAAGCCCAGGCAGAAAAGGAAAAACGTCACACTGAAAAAGAGCGAAAAGAAAAAGAACGATTACAGAGAAAAGCTGAAAAACTAGCTGAAAAAGCTAGTAAACGTAAATAACTTTACCTTAAAGTATTTTTGTCTTTGACTTCTAGTCTTTAGTGTAAGTGTTAAGTTTTTTCTAAGGAAAAAAATTCATAATTATTGGATGTGACATTTTGTATAATATGTATAGCATTGATATACATTTCCCTCTTAAGATATCTTTATATTCCTGATACGTCTGAAGCCTACTTATCAACAATTTTTCATGAGTAGAATCAAATATATTGCTCATTATATTTAAGTACTTAATTTATTAGCAGTATTAGATAGAATCGTGTATACAATTAATTTATTTTTTATTCGTTTGACAGAACATTCAATAATTTTTTTTTTTATAGTTCAGCATTTTATACTGTAGATGATACTAATATACTAGGCTTTATAAGTTTTTGTTTTATTTAAAGATGAGTATAACTTTATGTTCGTCATATTAATACTATTCCACATTTATTTCTTATTATCAGTGGGTAAAAAATTAATTTTTAGAGGACGTTTTTACCTAAATTAGGTATCCTGCTTTTCTAGTCGCTCTATCTACTTAACTTATGTTGAAAAAATACTTCTTATGTTTAAAGTTCATTGTATAATATTGTTTTTTTTTTTTATTTATACCACTTATATGATCTACAAATTGTAATCCATATTTATTGACAGCAAATTTGTTAAATAAAAGTATATGCAATCATCACTATCTTAAATTAAAATTGTTTGGGAATTGTACCTATATTCATAAATATTCAAATTTTCCAAAAAAACATTGTTTTATACAAATATTTCTTAAAAAAAAAAAATGTTAAATTTCAAAACATTATTGTTCTTTGCATTCCTCAAATGTTCAAATAAAAACATCCAACACATATTTCTAGTAATTATTCAATTATAGGTAAATTAGATAGAATACAATTAACATTAATTAATCCTGAATGTATTAGGTTATAAATGTTATAAGTATCAAACCCTTTTTGATAAATTAATTTTATGATCATTGTATAATTATTATTTATTAATACCATAACATTATTGAGTAATTTGTTATATTTAAGACACTTTTTTTATGTAACTTGTTTTAATTTTTTTTTTTTTTAATTTTGTATTTTAACATTTATCTTAAATTAAAATGTAAGATCAATGTATCATACATTTACAATCAATGGAGTATATCTTTAAGCATGTTTAAATAAAAAAAAAAATGGTGTTATTTATATTATTCTGTCCTAATTTGTTATACAGCTGGGATCAAATTCCACCTATTTTAAAGACGTATTTGTCATGGAAAAATAAATTTTAACTTCACCAGTACTGAATTAGTATAAATGCCACCTATGACCTATATTATTAAGAAGAATCAAAATCAAAATGTTTTCTTCTAATATACAAACAAAATAAATTTAGCCTCCATAAGCTTTATGCACGAAAATAGACAGGTAAAATTGTAAAAACGTTCTCAATCGTGATACGGGAAAATGTCTGTTTGCAATCGTTCCATTCGATATCATGTATCACCCTTATTAATAATAGGTTGACACTTGACTCGCTCTAATTTTTAAGCTAACGAATCTAAACATGAACTGCTGAGTAAATTTGTCATGTTGCGCACTCGTATAACGGAGACAAAGAATACCGCGCGGGTGTAGGATAGTGTAGCCAGGTACGCGGGGCGGGGAACGGGGTCCTCAGATTTAATTTTTGTTAGTTTTTTAAACACTGCCCAATGAAGCACCAAAAAGTGTCACGAGGTAGGATTGTCGAAAAATTGATATGGTCGTTAAAAACCAGGGTTTCTTTAATTATAAAAAAAAAAAAATGTCCCCAAAAAGGCCATCCCGTAGTGGCATTAGACAGGGCCGGGCCTTCAAAATAAAGGGTTGGACCGGGCTTTTTAAGGATTTTTCATCGATAATAAATAATCATAATTTAAAAAATAACGCCAGTTATCATTGTTATCATTAAAATATTTCATGTGGAAGTTTTACATTTTTAAACCAGTCTTACAAAAAAAAATCTTATGATTAGACTGGGCTTTTTTTATCAAAACCTTAAGCACTAGCGTCAAAAAAATATGTCGTGCAGGGCCGGGCTTGAAGATAAACTTGATGGATCGGACCGGGCCGAAAATTTACGGCCCTTGCAAGTTGCAGGTCTATAGTAGGTATCAATATTTTTTGCCTATTTCATTCCTTTTATTCAAAACAGTAATATAGCGTACCAATTTTCGGTTTACCCATAGGTACACTGCGGTCATAAGATTTTTATTTCAATTGTATTTTTATTTATTACAAACGCAATTATTTTACTTTAAATTCTGATATATACCATTAAATGGCTTAAAAATATAACTACTAGGTACTTCAGCTGGTGGTGGGAGGAGGATATATATTATATACACTAACCCACTACCCTAGGGCCTAGGTATAGTACATGAATGAAATAAGAGAGGCCCTTAGGAAAATGTACGTGCCAGACACTAGTGTAGCGTCATCTTGAGAAAACACAGGAAGCAAAATGTGTGCCATATTGATCGTTCTAATCAAATTTAAAAATTAATTTTGTCAAAAATTGTTAATGGCGGAGTTAATACCTCAAATTTTAGCAAAGATGTTACTCAATTTTATTTTAATATGGTGCTGATGTCTGATATACTAGTATTATTATTATATTACATTATGATTATTCGATTTAGGACTACTGCAGTTATACAACATTTTAGGTTATAATGCAGATACAACAAATTTCTTTTAAGTAAACAATTGACTTAAAAGGTGTGCATTTATTAATCGTAATTTCTGATCTTATATTCTGATGGAAAGTGTACCAGAGTGGCCCTCTTACTACGTATATCGTCGAGTACCCCTAAACCATCGCCCACCGACCACAAGTACAAGCTACAAAGCGTAAATATCGCAGAACAAAAGAACGTGTTGGTGCCACCAACTTGGTGGTGCGGTGGGTCGAATGATTCAGGCTTAAAGTGTGTCCGAACCGTCAATGGATAGTACAGTGTTAATATAAACATTAATGTCACCGCAATTCAAAAGTGAAAAAAATATTAAAAATTTCAAATTTTTTTTGCATCGACGCATAGATCGTCGTTCACACAAAAAGATAAACCCAATTTGGATGATCAAAATACAATCCTTCTACTTTAAATTATATTATTTTAGTATTATTGTTGTAACGAACACTGTGGAATAATGTATTCTATTCTACAGTTTAAACCATAATGCTCTTATAATACATTAACATACATGCCCATAAAGAATATCGCAATGGCTTCACAATAATATTTCGTCCGAATTCGAGATCCGGTCACTGTTCTCTGCCAACTGGATGCATCAATAGTTTTTAATGAGCTTAAGGGTGCTGGGTAACCGCACACTGGTAAAGCAAAACTACTTCAAAGCGACTAAAGTCGCTTTATTATGACTAATCAAAAATAAAACCTTTATATTTTATGGAAAACACTCACACTGATAAAGCGTAGTCAAAACAAAACATATTTGTCTTCAGTCATGACTAAGGGTGACCGCACACTGGTAAAACAAAATTGACTGAAGAAATGTAAGTCATATTTAGTCATTTTGCTTTAGTCGTAATAAAGCATTGTTGTCGCACACTAGATAAAACATAGTTAGTCAAATCAAAGTATATCAAGTAGTTGTCAAAATGTCGTCCGATGAGGAGGACGTTGTTATTTCTATGTTATGGTTTCTTTTAAAAGAAATTGAACAAGAAGAAAATAAAAAAAAACTTTGAGTTCATCCTTTGAACTTTAAACGAACTGAAAATAATACAATTATATGTTTTATTCATAAACTTCGAAATGACGAATATAAATTTAAAAATTTTACACGAATGAGTACCGACACGTTTGATTATATTCTAGAAATACTTAACGATGAAATTCGAAAACCTGATACTAATTTCAGAAAAAGTATCACTCCAGAAGAGAAATTATTGGTGACATTGAGGTATGTTAATAACAAATTCTAAATAATTAGATACTAGATTCTGGGCGGAGCATAGCGAAATAATGTATTGTTTTTACAATGATGTGTTTTTTAAAAAAAAATTTTCGTTTATCTTATACAATGATTTATCATTGAATTAAATTATAACATAACCATTACAACGACATGCTTGACAACTACTGAATAGCAGAGCAGTACCTACCCACTTGTCCAACTTTTTTTACATTTTCATTTTTTCTCTCCTCTCAGAATTCAAAATAGCAGGTAGTATAAAAATAATTCTTTTAGACTTGCGAATTTAGGCTGCATACGAACTGAGTCCCAGTATAACCTTTTATAACGAATTGAGTCCCAGGTTGTTTTAGGGTATAAACCAATTGAGTCCAGTGAAATTATAGGTATAATACTAATTGAGTCCATGTTTTAATACTAACTGAGTCCCGTTAAAATATTATAATATAAAATAATTATTATATTAATATATAACCAATATATATTTTTTCGTTTAATACAATATAATATATTGATGGGACTTTTAAAAGCTGCCCAATACAGTTTACTCAACTGTTTACTATCCACGGAATGAAAATAATAACTACATATACCATTGGTATTTTGTTTACTTTTGGACAAAGTTTCAATAATATAATATGTATATATAGGTATATCCGTGTGGAGCGGCTTTTGACGCGCGGCATAATTTTCGCTGTGTCTGGATGGTCATTTTATATTTTACTCAAAATAATCCTCGGACTCAATTCGTATACAATTAGTTTCCTAACCCCGGACTCAATTAGTATATGTTTCGTTTGTACCCGGGACTCAATTAGTATATTAATTTTTTATGATTTTAAAATTATTGTTGGACTTGGTATAGTTTTCGACGTAGCACAGTTGAAACATAGTCGTTTTTACGAAAATTATAAGGAGTTGTGAGTTGTATACAGCAAATAGGTACATAAGACTGCGAGTAAAAAAAGCTGCATTACTATTTTCTTTTTTAGATGGGGTGAAATTTGTGAAGTTGAAACTGTAACAATCCTACTACGTCCGTGTGATGGAGTTGAAAAATAAATGAAGAAGAGTTTGTTTTTTCTTTATAAATTGAATACTTTTTATTTAATTAATACAAAAACACAATAAATTTACTAAGTCCAAATTGACTATTTTAAATAATGAAGACTAACGAGATGTGACTGTCATATCCTAGCTCCTAGCTTGTCGTTGGAGTTGGTCCGTCTGCCGAAGCCCATTCGAGCGACGTATTATGATGGCTATACTTGGATCGTATCCCTGCTTATTACCCTACTACTTTTACCATATAAGGTCATACCGTGGGCGGCCATGCGCGGCACTCACCGGATGTCCCTTGCCTATCTGGTCGTTGTCATTTCTGTGACTACACAACGCTGTTAATTCTTTTAATGTGAACTATAATATATAATACATAATATTCATATGAGTAGTGATATATCTATGAACACATACGTTTGGAGGTCACGCGCAAATATTGATGATACTTCGTAGGCCTCCTGCAACTAATATATATATATATATGTATATTTATTTAAAACTACCCGAGGGACTCACTGGAGTGATTATTCATAGTATTTAAACATAGTCACAGCTCGCTACAAAACTTTGAAAATTTTT